AAAAAAAAAGGAGGCACAAAAGGTAAACAAAGACTCGCAACAGTCAAGCTGTGGTCGCGGTGCGGGGTTGGGTGGGTTATGGGCTTCTAGCCAAGGTAAAAAGGCAATCAATGTCGCCGTCGTCGTCGTCGTCGTCGCTCTGTCGTCCTGCTAGCATTTGCTTATGCCCGCCGCTTCCTTTTTTATATTTTATTTGATTTGCCTAAACGCCCGCGTCCTGATTGTGCGTAATAGAGCGTTAAACTCTTCAAGCAGCAGCCTTTTTTTTCCCGACTCTTCTGCAGCTTCAACTTGTGCGCTGCTCTACTCAAGGAAATCAGCGCAAGGACGTCCTGGCGCAAAAATTATTATATTAGCATCGCCGCCTGTCGTCCTGCTTCCTAAGGTAGTAAAAATTATGTGTAAAATGTCCTTGAACCCCTTTTTTTTTGTTGTGTGTATTTTTTTTTTTTTTTTTATGCTCGACTCTCTCGGCTCGGTTCTGAGCTCCTTGCACAGTATCTTTAAAGGAAAAGCAGAAAGGATTATTTAGACGGCGTCATTGTTTTGAAATTATGGCAGCATTTTTCTTTTAGTCTTTGCCTTTGTTGTTTTTTTTATTTTCTGCTTCTTCTTTTTTTTTTTTTTTTTTTGCTTGGCTTCATTTCTTTGTTTTTGTCAACGTCACAGCTTGTAATATGTCAAGCCAGCCCAGACCACCCCCCACAGCCCCACAGCCCACTCTCTTTCTCCCTCCCTCACTCTCTCTCTCCTTCCCTCTTACTTCTTTAGCCAGCTCACAGCGGGTTTTTGGCGGTTTTCTTTAAATTGTCGTCCTTATTTTTAACATGTTTTTTCTTTTTTTTTTTGGCTTGCTTTCGCTTTGATGTCAGTCAAAACAATTTGTGTTTTTTTTTTCCTTTGCTTTTTTGATTCTTGCGGTTCTTATTTTTCCTTCCTTTTTCTAGGAATTACAGAAGCGGGCGATATGCTAAACAATTGTTAAAGCGAGTTGGCAGCGGGTTGCGCAAAAGCAACTTGTTGATTTAAGGATGACTTTTTTAAGGTATTCACTGGCGTATGGACGGGAGAGGCCGTTAGGGGTAGGGCAAGAGATTAGTAAGCAGTATGTGGAGGAAGCCAGAGAATGTGAAGAAGAAATTGTTTGGAATATAATGAGCCCAAATAGTGAGAATTATGCCGGAATTATTTGCTATAGATTATAGATTAGATTGTATATGAAATAGTAAATGCTAATAACAAAATTTATATACATATGTATGTACTTATATACATATATGATATAGTAAATAATACAATCATTTATATGCGAACTTATGCATGTCTGTTCTAACTGTCTGAAGTCTCTTCATGCTGATCATTTTTTTTCATCAACTGATTTACGGCAAAAATCTCAAATTAATTATTGCTGTTTGATATAGGCCTACTGTTAAGGTTTAACTGTAAATACTTCAAGCTCCTATAATCTAAGCCCAAAGACTCAAACCCAGTGCCGCACACACTACCACCAGCCCACCCACTCCCTCTCTCTCTCTCTCTCTCTCTCTCTCTCTCTCTCTCTCTTTGCGTTACTGTCTCACAGTCTGTTCTACCTCAACCGAATGGTTGAATTCTCTCTCTCTCACTCTCGTTTGACTTGTTCTATAAACCTCTCAGCTGCTCTATTATTTCATCTAATTAGCACAATTGCTGTCCTAGACACAATTTTACACACAATGGGCAGACACACACGCATGCATACATACATATGTATGTATATCTATATATGTACATGCATGCGTATGTAATTCCTAGCCCAACATATGAAACAATTTCATTGTCAAGTGTGTTTGTTGTCTGCTGGCTTAACTGGTTCAAACCAATTGACAGTAAAATCAACAACAATCAGCAACAAAAAACATATTGGACAGAAGAAACAAAAAACAATAAAAATGAGCATATAAAGCGCACTCATTGCAGGCACCAATACAGACATACATCTATATATGTATGCATACAATACAGACATACATTTATATATGTATGCATGTATCTCTATGTAAATGTATTTAAATATATATGTCTGTACAATATACAAATTTAATGTGCGCCAAATGCTACAAAAACAAATGATATCATCTCATCTGAAAGCGCAACAGAAATTCGTCGAAGCGCTTCATAAAAAATAAATAAATGCGTGCGTTTGTATGTGCGCGCACACGCACCCACACATACATACACACACACTAGCTGAAAGCGAAACATTTGTTTTTGTGCAATTGAAAAGCTTTGCGCAAGGAAGTTTTGGGGGCGAGCGAACGCCGATCAAAAAAGAGACAAGCGAAAAAAATGCAGTATACACACATAATCAAAAAAGTTGCTTAGGCGGCGGCAGTCACACACACACACGCATAGCGCTACATAATTGCCAAATAGTGTATATAACGGGCCTACGCAGCGCAGCGACAGCGGCGCAGCAGCAGTCAAAGTGCGAGTACATAACAAATAAATGCTAAAATTTCACAAAAAAAAAGCACACGCACACACGCATAGACACGCGCGTGCACACACACACATACATTCACAGGCACAAACGCAAGCTGCAAAAGTGCGTTCCGTTAATGGGCAGTGCGAGCGAGCGAGTGGGTGTGTGTGTGTATGGCTGGCGCCAAAATATGGAGCATACATATGTATGTATATATGTATAAATATATATACATAATATGTATGTATATAAACCGCCCCAAAAACTGTACATAGCCAACACAACAGCAAGAGCATGAGAGGAAGAAGAAGAAGCAGCAGCAGAAGCAGCAGAATAGCAGCAACAAAAAGTGCTGTAGCTAAGCAAAAATGTGTGAGGGCTGCCGTAAAGTGTGTGCAGCTCACTGCAAACGCTATAGCAAACGACAGAAGCGTCGCAGTCGGCATCTATGTTGGCGGCCATGCCAAAAGACGCAATACACACACAGACAGCACACGAACGCACGCACAGGCATGCATACACGCATAATGGCCTGCATTGGTGTGTGCGCAGCCAACGTACGAAGCTTTTCTTATTGGATTTCTCATAGGCCACATGGCAGCGACAGCAGCCACATAAGCACGCACAAGCACGCACATACACACACATACATACGCACAGACACAGCTAGCAAGAGAGTGAGAGCGAAAAAAGAGAGCGTGTGCGAGCGGGGGCCCGCTGACGCTGCGCTTGACTGCGTGTTGCTGCTACACGTGTTTGTTTGAATTGCGTAAACTTGCTGTTCCATTCTCCGTTCGTCGTTCTTTGGATTGTTTTTGTGTGCAGGCAGGCAGCATTAGCTTGTTTTTTTTTTTTTGCGCGCGCTCTCTGAGTGACATGCGCGTTCTCAGCTGGGGAAGTGCCGCAAACACGAAAAAGCTCAAGCACAAGCTCTCGCATGCTCTGAGTATTGTTATGCTAAGTTCTTCTTGTTGTTGTTGTTTCTTTTGCTTTTGTTTTGCCACTGGAAGCAGGAGAAACGAGTTTTTTTGTTTTTTTTTTTTTGCTTGGGCTTACGCTCAAAATGTTTCGCTCTTTGAGCACTTTGGAGAGCAACAACATTAAATAAATAGAAGAAAAGCAGCCAATTTGATGCTTTTTTCGATTGTTCAAATGAGAAACAATTGAGCCGTTGATTAAAGTTTCGTTGGTTACAGGACACTTGTGGGAAATGCAATAAGATATAGACAGAATTTGCTATTGTTTATTGTTTGTTTGCTTTTGTCAGCAACTTTTAGCGGTTGATCAAAACGCAATTTGAGCTCTATTGTATTTTTTTTTTTTTTTTTTTTTGCTTTTGCTGCAAATCAAGTTTGATTTCTTTATTTGAACTTGAGGACTTTTGTCTGCTTGCACCTGGCCAGCTGATGCAATCAGAGTTCAGCTAACCTCCCCCTTCAACCCCTTCGTCCTTTGCCGCCTGCTGTGCCACAAAAAGCAAGTTTCTAATTTTGGTAGTGTTTTCCGCTCGAAGGAGTTGTGAAAGGACTCGCGATTAGCTCATGCGACTTATGCAATTTGCCTGCACGCAGTGAGAGTGTGAGTCGAGAGAGAGTAGTGAAACTCACCCCCAAACTCTAGCTGAGAGAGAAGTCCTGTGAGAAGGGGCGACATTGCATACACAAAATAGGAAAAAGCAGGAGGAAGAAAAAAACACAAAGTTGCAGCAATGACATCATAAAGCGCCTTGCATGGAACGCTCTAATAGTAGCTCAACTACAGCTAAAAAGCTTTTTACTGAATTATAATATTTTTAATATTTCAATGATTAAAGTCTTTACCGTTATTCAGCAAAAAACAAAATCCAATTTGAACACTGCATGTCGTGCATTCAAAATGGATTAAACGTGCAAAAACATTGCACAGCCGCTGCGCAAGTGCCTCTGCTTGTGTGAGTGAGCGCGTGCTGTGCTGCGAGAGCGCTCAGCGCTGAGAGAGAGAGAGAGAGCATAAGCGAGTGAGCAGATTCTGCATTTGCAACATAGAGCAAAAGCACTCAATGCAAAATAGGCGCACTCTCGCGACGCCGGGCCTGTGCTTGCGCGTGTATGTGCATGTGTGTGTGTGTTTTTTTTTGTCGCTGCGGTTTGCTGCGTTCGTTCGCCATTTACTCTTACGGTCTTGGAGCTGTTGCGTTGCTGCGCTGCTGCGCTGTTACTGCTGCTGGTGCTGCTACTGCTGCTATTGGTGGTGGCTCTGCCACTGCTTGTGTGTGCGTGCAGTTTGTTGTATGCTTGTGTGAGTCGCCGTTGTCGTCGCGTCGCCTCTGCCTCTGCCTCGATAGGCCGGCCATAAACGCAAAAGTGGAATTACGCTCGCGTTATTCGGCGCTAGGTTTCGGTGGTGCGCAGCTCGCAGTCGCAGCGTTTGTTGTGTGCATTTCTCGTCTCGTCTAACGGCAACAGCAAAACAGAAGCTGACTGCAAAAACAAAAAAAGCAAGAATAATAAATACACAAAAACCAAAACTAAATTACATTTCAAAATTACAAAGCAAAATTTAAGAAAAAAACAAAAAAATATTCATATTAATTTATTTATTACGAACGGAAATGCGGCAGAAAATTGTTTTGAAAATTGTGCACCAAATATTTGCTGCCTAACAACAAAAGTTTCCTCAACTTAACTGTTTTTTAATTTATTATTTAAGTTTAGTTCACATTAAAACAAAAATACATAAACAAGATAAATATCGCCCAAGGCCGGCAAACAAAATACACAAAAAGTCGAAATAAAAACAAAAATTATTACAGTGCACAAAGTGTGTGCCTACATGAGTGTGTGTGTGTGTGTGCGAACGTATGTGTGTGTGTATTTGACAAGTGATTGAAGGTAAATTCATTGTTTATTGTTATTAAACCAAACAAATTCAAATATAAATATACAAAAGAAAAACAATTAAATTTTAGATAAATTAAATAAACAAGCAACAATTTTTGCAATTTTTCTAAATGCATTAAAATCAGTGAAAATTATAAAATTTAGTAATATATTTAAAGCACAAATTATAAATTAAATGTGTATAAAAAACATAAACTTAAAAATAAAATAAAATAGAAAAAGGAATCAAAATATATCAATAAATATCATGATTATATTAAATAATAAAATAAAGTTTAAAAATTAATGATTTAATTATTAATAATATATATAAACCTGAGTAAAAACTAACTTTTTGAAAAACTCGCAATTTTTGAGCGCCAAAAACGCCGCAGGAATACAGTTATATAAAGCTCTCTCTCTTTATCTCTAAATATATATTATCTTTATATATGTGCCTATGTTTTCTCCAAGTGCACTTTATGTATCTTTAAGATACTTTCCCAAAAATAATGAAGCAAGGACAGCAGCTCTACAAGTTTCTTAACTCGTTCCGGGAGAAAACCCCTATAAATGCAATAAATGCGTATACCAATTACAATTGTGCGTAACTCTATGAGTGTGTGCGTGTGTGTGCGTGTGTGTGCATATTGTGATCTTTAGCATACCGAATGGGGTTGCTTGGCAACAACTGCAATTGGAAACTGGAAATGGGAAAAGCGGAAAGCAAAAAGAAACTTGTGCATTTTTAATCAAGCAACAACAACAACAACAACGGCAGCAGCAACTACAGCAATAATAATTACTACAACAATAACAAACAATAAACCACCCTGCCCGCCCTTCATACAAAGCCTATGCAAAAGATGCGAAGCATGAAAAGCAAAACAGCCAAAAAGTGAACTGAATTTCAAACCCTTCCAAGAGACACGTGTGTGCGTGTATGTGTATGTGTATGTGTGCGTGTGTGTTAAAGTGCATAAGGCAATATGCAGGGATTATAACAGTTTTACATAAAAGATATATACAGAAAACTTTGCTAATACACTTGTTTGATATAAAAGAGAAAGAGAGAGAGAGAGACAGACAGAGAAAGAGCGCGAAGGAGATTTGCAAGAACTTTACAAAAAGAGAACCAACAAACAAAAATAATAAACAAATATTCAAAATATAAATATATATACATGACTGAAAATAAAAAATTTAAATGCATTTAAGCTGATTTTAAATACTAGAAAAAATTGAAAAAAAAAAATATATATATATATATATATATATTATATATAAAGAAATTTGACAAAATTTCAACATAAAATATATCCTAATCAAATTGATATACATTTTACAGAAATTATTATTTTTTTATATTATTATATTATATATATTACTATAATTATAGTATAAATCACGCCCTTAAATGGCTTAAGTTAAAAAAAAAATGTAGAATTGAGGCAAATTTATTATTATTCTTTAAATGTAGTAAACAAAGCTCACAGACTATGAACCAGTGAGCGTATTGAATCTATTGCATCTGTTTAGTATTCCCATTATTAACAGATTTGGCACTTAGAGCGATAAGCGTTGACAATTTCCTGATGGAAGTCGATGAAATATTTCACAACTAACAAAAAAAAGAAACAATCTCAATTAAAAGCTACATTAAAGACGAAACCCAGAGCCACGAAATGCGTTGCAATCTGCGGGTTTCAGATTAAAGAATTAATGGAAACAGCATTCGGGTACAGATAAGCATTATATTTATTTGACATTTTTGAAAAATCTAATCAGAATTTTGAAAAAAGGGCAATGTGAAATATATAATATATGTTCCTGTCGTTAGAAAGAGCTGTGAAATATGAAGGTGTAGAAATATGTTGAATTTCATATAAGATTATAATGAAAATATTATAGAAATATGAGCATAGAATAGTTTGATATCTAGTTAAGTTCAGTTCGCTATGTTACTATCAATCTATTTATATAGCTTCAATTTTATTGCAATAGCATTAAAAGATCCTGAGATTTCAGGAATCAAAATCTTAGGAAAATGAATTAGAAAGAGATATTCTTTGTAGACGTAAAAAAAATATATTCAACATATATCTAAAAAAATATATAAAATAAACAAACAAAAAATTACGAATCTATATAGATACCTATACTCTTTAATATATATTTATCCAATTCTCCACTTTTGTTGCAGGTCTCCAATGTCACTGTGAAAATGTCTCCACACAGCAAAAACGTTCACAAAATCGAAAAAAGGCGAATGCAACATTGCCACATGCAACAAAATGCAATTTTTGAACATTTAACTAACTAAAACAAAGTTGCGAAAATCCAATTCAAAAATAAACAACAACAAAATATTTCAAAAATGAACTGAAAAGTAAAATTTAAAACCTAAACAAACTTTAAGCAAATGCAAAATTGGCAAATTATAGATTTGGGCTAAAAAGAAGAAAAAAAAATTAAAAACAAAAAAAAACTTTTTTGAAAAAAAATCTAAATATATTTGGCTAAAAATTAAATAAAAAGCAAGCAAAAGGAAACACAACAACAAAATCAATTAAATGTAACTTTAAACTAAACCGAGAAACAACAACAAAAGCAAAAATCAGCTAAATTTCGAAATCAAGCAAAAACCGCTAACAAATTTAAAGCCAACAACTAAATTGGAAAACCTCTTCAAAATTATTGGTTCGGACAAAACGCAATACTAAACACAGCAACAACAACTACAACAACAGCAATATTTACTACAACAACAACAACAAGCAGCCGTAAATAAATAATAAATAAAATAATAAAAATAAAAAAAATCGCGTGTGTTAGTTTGCATAAAAATTTCGTTTCGATAAAAACAAAACAAAAAATTTAGAGAACAAAAAAAAAAAAAACAGAAGAAAAAAAATCTATGCTTAAAACATATTTATGTATAAATATATATGTATATATATATATTGAAAAAATATAAATATTTGGTAAACATTTTTGATAATAACTGAACTGTAAAAAAAAAATTAAATAACATTTAATCTAAGTGCAGTGAAGTGCAAACAAACAAAATTAATTACAAATTGTAATTGAATGAAAATTCATACAAAATTTGTAAACATTTTTTACGATTGAAAACTAAGGCAACATTAATTTTGGATTAACACGCAACATTTGCAATTGGATTATAAGGTGAGCTTTAATTTTATTTAAATATTTGAATTATTGATTTGTTTTTTTCTATGTCATGAGAAGAATGTGTTATATATCAGCTAATGCTGATATAATGTTGGCTAATACCAACTCTAATACTGTGCAACACTAAAATACTAGCCAGCTATCCAACACTTACTTCTCTATGGAATGTAATCCAGGAGAATAAAAATTTAATTTGAAATCGAATTCGCCAACAGTGAATTATAACTGTTCTCTTTGATCTAATTAAAGATCTATATTATATTTACTCTACACTACAACTCTACACAACAAATCTTGTAAAGAATCGACTCTCCGACTAGCTACATACATATGTATATCTCCACTCTTCATTTATTCCGAACTCGACTCATCTACTCTACATTCTTCTTCTCTACTTCACTCTACAAACGCTCTGCAACTTGTTGCTTTCTGCTACTCTCCACTCTAACTCTCCACTTTACTCTCCTCTGCTGCATTTTAGCTAAACTCAAAACTTCAGTTGGCTATAAGAATACACTTCCCATTTGGCGGTTCGCACAACTCTCCACTTTTTAACTCTCCACATGGCGCTGGAAGCACTTTCTGTCTTGGGCCTAACCTCCAAGCAATGTCATTCAATATTTATGTTAATTGCGCAGCGCATTTTCACTTACACAACACTAAACCAACACTGGGCACTCCCCTTGACAACGACCCACCGCCCCCTCCCTCACCATTAGTACAACAAAATATTGTCACACTTAGTTAAAACCAAGTAAACATTTTTTCGAAAGTTTTTTTTTTTTTCCTCTTCTTATTTGTATCTTTTTATGCTACAAACATTTGCAAACATTTTGCAGACGCACAACGCATTTAATTATTATAATAATTACGCACAATTATAATTTATGCAAAGAAATGTATGAGAGGGAAAAGGCTTAAAAATTGTGTTTGCTTATTATTTTCTACGCACTTTTTGTTTTGTATATGATTTATGAGCGTCAGCGTTGCATATTAATAACAATTAGGCGACAACTGAAGAAAAGCAAAAGTCACACACACACACACACACACACACACACATACACGTACATACATATCAATACAAGCACACACACACATGCAAACATACGCAACACATTCAATTTTTTTCTTTGCATAAATTAAACTTTTCTTATATTGCTGCTGCTGCTGCTGCTGCGTCGCAGTCGCCGCTGTCGTTGTCGTCGCTGCTAACACGCAACCCCCTCGCGGCATTGACGCCAGCGTCGCTGCCGCTTTGACCTACTTTAAGCGCAGCGCGTTCCAAATTTTTGTGCGTTGTACGTACTGCTGCTGTTCTCCTTCCCCTCTCTCTCTCTCTCTCTCGCTCTCGCTCTATTGTTGCTTGCTGCGTGCGCTTAAATGTAGTTGCCGTTGCCGTTGCTGTTGCTGTAGTGGGCCTTCCGCATTTAATTAAATGCAACAACAATTTGGTTATTTTCAACCTTTGTTTTACGTGTGCTTCGTTTTTACTGTTTTCTTTCTTTACTCTACCATTTGCTATTGTGTTTTTTTTTCTTGTTGCATTTTCACTTGTCGGAAGTGCGTTTTAGTTTAGTCTGGCCTCTCAACCTTTCAGTGTTGCTGACTCGCTCACACGCATTGCGCAATCGTTCGGCTTCCTAGAATACACAAAGCTCCCTACCCCAACCACCCTGTCTGTCTGCTGTCTATCTCGCTCTCTCGCACGCTCACGCAATGTGCGTCGCAGACTGCGCGGCTTTCTGAGCTAACGCAATGCAATGCTGCTGCTGCTGTTGTTGTTGTTGTTGTTGTTGTCGTCGTTCGCAGTTACGCAAAGTGCGTCGCAGTTGCTGCGCCTATGCAGTTGTGTGCGTATTGTTCTTTTTCTCCCCCTTCCATTATGCTGCGTGCACTCATTAGAGCTGTTTCGTGTGCTTCGTCTTCTTCTTCTTGTTCTGCGTCTCGTGTTGCGTCTGCAGCGGCTGCTTTAATAATTGTGGCATTTTATGACCTGCCACTGCAGTTGCTTGAATTTTAATGTGTCGCCTACCAAGAAAAGCGATTCAACATAACAGCAATAACAACAAAACCCGTCAATAGCTTTAACCGAAGCGCAGTTGTTATTACAGTTGTTTCAACTGTTGACATAGCACTAGAGTGACAGGCAATCAATCTGTCTCTGTCTCGCTCACGCTCTAGCCGCTCTCACTGCAATTGGCCGCTGCGTATGCACTTTCCAAAAATACGCAAAGCCATTGTAATGAGAGCTTGTTGTTGTTTAGAGTTGAAGTTTTTTCTTTACGCCGCAATTCCTTCAAGTGGCTCATAAATTTGCTTAGCACTGTAAACAAATGCTGAGTAATTAATAATCGACGCTCTACATAAGCCCAGCATGCGAGAGAGCATACATATGTACGTGTATGCGTAACTGCACATTTGTAGATTTTGCCGCTCTCCGCTCTTGCGAAATGACAGACAGCACAGTGGCGTGCCATGCTTGGGCCTCATCTGTGCGAGCCCAGCAACGCAACTGACTAACAACGCCCATGAAATGCGTTTTCTATTTTGCTCATACACACACCCATACGTGGACAGCGCACAGGCACAAACACACACACGCCCACTTGGAGAGGGCGCTTTGCTTACTCTACACAACGCAACTCTACGCTATGTATTGAATGCATGCAAAACTTTTTGCCAGCGCACATTTGCCAATATATGCGAGCGAGTGAGAGCGACTGACTGACGGCGAGTGTGAGTGCGAGTGTGTGCGCTATTGCGAAGTGGAGCAAAAGGCAACTGGCAATTAGCAGCAGCTGGGGAATAACTGCGAACGAATAGTTTTGCCAAAGCATTGCACATAGGCTCCGCCATATCTGACGGTGTGTACATATCACATGCACAGACACACATAGACAACTCTACATTCACACCTACACACAGTATACAGATAGCATTTGTCTGTATACATGCATATGTGCTTTAGGCCTATAGACCAAACAATGGAGAAAAACAAATTCAAAACGAACGACACTGACAGGTTTTCACTGTACTTAAATAATATGAACTAAAAATATTTGTTTTCTGTTTCTTGTTTGCTTTTTTTTCTTCCCTTTTTGCTTTTATAATGAATTTGTCTTGCGTTTTTGATAAGCTTAATTAGCAGCACATAAAAAACTCGGTGATTTCGCATTATTTTATGACAAGTTACATTTTATAAATGTATGCGAATGTGTGTCTATATCCATATAGTTTTGCAGTGCAAATCCTGACTTGATGCGTGTCGCACATTCTTTTCGTTTTTTTGTTTTTATAGGCCATAAAACATGGCCGTAATATTGCGCATAAATTAGTAGATGAAATTATTTTTACAGCGTGTTAGTTTGAGAAAACCTTTAAAACATGCAAACATGCAGTGAGTCAGAGAAAAGGGCAGCATAGAGAGAGGGGGAGTGAAAGTAATAAAAGTAAACCTACTTTTTTTGAAACTTATATGCATATTTCTTCTCAACTAACTTCAAAAACTTAATGAAAAAGAAATATCGAAAAATATGGCATTAGAAATATGTATTTATGTTTATACAATTTGTTAATTAGGCTCAAAAATAATAAGTGGATTAATTCTAAAATGCATTATTATTAAAACTGCTTTGAATAAAAAATTAATCTCCAATGCTGTAAACTTAACATCTTTAAGAGAGATACATATGACTTTAGCATTAAAATATGCTAATTTATGCTAATCCAAAAAGTAATCTCATAAAATGTAACCAAAAATATATTCTGTAAAATCAGAAAATAACCTTCAATGGGTGCTTTTTGTTATTGTTCAATAAATTCGTAGAAGCAACAAGCAACAACAATTTGTCAATTTCATGTCAATTACAACACCAAAAAGCGCAGATAATACACAAACATACATGTATATATATGTATGTGTGTGCATATGCTATATAGCATAACTAGAACTCTATATATCTCTCTCTCTCCCACATACGCATGAATATGGAGGGCGAAGCTTGTATATAATGCTATTATATAGCAAAATAAATTATATAAATACAATAAATATATACATATACATTTAAATATATGTACATATGCATGTGAGTGTATATGTGCAAACGCAGCGCAAAAAAAATTTTTTATGTGTTACGCATTTTTCCTGTTTTTGCTATTGAGTTATTTGTAGATTGTGTCGGAGTCGCATCTAAATTATTGCGGCCTACAATTAAAATTGGCCGCAAGTGAATATATAGCGCTCAAGTGAGAGAGAGAGGAAGGGAGAGGGAACTTTAGGGTCGGGGGCAAGCGGCGACCGCTA